CTTAAGACACACTTTGTATCAAGAATGAATGGAAAAGTAAAATTAACAGCAAACCTACAAGCAAGCTCAGCAAAAAGGTGGGATAAAAGTGGTTAAAAAAATCCATTTGGAAGGAGAATTGAAAGAAGACAGACAGAGCTGAGTCCAGAGCTGTGTTGTACTGACATACTCTTCAGAGATATCTGGAAAGGGAGGAATAAAAATTAGAAATGGAAGAAAAAAATGTCTGGGAAGAGGAACTGATTAAGGGCAATATGAGAAGCAACCAAAGAAACCACGCATAGAGAAGCAGATAGAGAAGAAAATAAAGACCAGCAAGTCAAAGCAAGTGAGGCCAATGAAGGAAGAAGGCAGCTGAGAAGAGTAAAGGAGTCAGAAAGGTTAATAGACTGGAGATCCCAAAAGGAGTGAGTGACAGGGTAGAGGCTAGAGAAAGACATATAAGCTGAAAGAGAGCAGGTAGTGATCAGAGAAAGGGTATTTAGAAATGAGAGATAATAAAGTGACCGGTATTTAGTAAAGAGAAGGTCACAGGAATGATCGAGGCAGTGAGAAAATCTGTTTAAAACTAGAAATCAAAAGGCGTTGGGCTGGAAAAACAGAATTAAGAACAATGGAGTGAAGTAGTTATCGAGGGGAAAAAAAAAAATAAGGCTTGTCCATGGTGAGGGATAAAATTTGAGAAGTCAGAAATGGGTTGACTTGAGCAAAGTCACAAAGAAGCACATGGCCACTAGGAAAACTAGACACAGAGAATTTCAAATCAGGAAGAGGGTAGAGCAGACAACAGAACTGATGAAGCAGAAGCAGTGGAAGAGAGGAATTGTAGGACATCAGAAGCAAGTATGAAAGGGAAACAATTTTTAAAAAGCATCAACTGAAGAACAAGGTTCAGGGAAGGCAGTAAAGTTTGAATAAGAATCTTAAAAATCTATATTTGAGTCATGTTTTGAAATATAAGTAACACCCCACTGGGCATTCCCAACACTTGTATTTACCCCCTTGGGTGACCTTGGCAGAAAGCTTTAGTTATTTACCCAGACCAAACCAGAGATCAGCAATTCAGAAGACCAGCACTGCCCCTGGCTAGATGATGTGGGGATACGGCAGGGTTGGAAAAACTTCTGACTGTTAAAGAAGTATTTAAAATGATGGAAAAGCAGTGATTTGAACTCTGCTATCCAGCACCTTTAGTTCCAGATTAAATTGACTCCCCACAAAGCAAGACCTGAAGGCCTTCGTTGATTCTCCCTCACATCAACCTCCTGCTCCTAGAAGCTCAAATACCTGACGCAGCATTCGCCACCAGCATTCAAATTCAGCCTTTAAGATTCTCATCTCACTGTATAATAGCCAAGACAGAGATTAAGTGGACAGATTGCTGAAAACAAACATCACTGCAATTTTGGGTCCCATTCAGAGATATCTGAGAACCACTGGCATAAGACTACCTCTCCATTTCCAAGCCTCTGTCAAGAATTTCACTCTATGGCTTTCTTAAACATCAGCATGAATAAAACACCAGCCTTCTCAGACACTTCTAATACCGTATTTCATTTTCCGGTATACTGGCATGTTTTTAAAGTTTCTGCTCATTACAAAAAGACGACATACCTCTGCTCGTACAATTGGTAGCTGGATCATTAGAGTGCAACAGGAGACAGGGAATAAAACCACATTATTCCCTGCTACCAAACCAGCGACATACAGGAAGTATAGAACGTGAGCTGAGCATATCATTTCTATATACCATACTGATTACTATTTATTCATGTGTGTATATGAGATTCACTCAACATTACCGAAATTACACAAAAACCAGCCTACCTATAAAGAAGAGCTCACAGGAGTCGGGGCATAATGGAAGCTCTTCTGTACACTTTTTAGATACTTTTATATGGTCTGAAAATAATTTTAGATTTGTCTTTAAATTTTAGATAAAACACTCCTTTGGGTTAATTTTAAATATATCTGATTTAGTGGTTTTAGATAAAATTTTGACAAATAATACTAAAAAGATTTTTTTTCACGTACTGTCTTTTGTTACAGTCAAGAACACTCACATATAATCAACTAGTGGAAGCAGTAAACTGGCCACAAGATAGGTAGCAGCTACTGTAACACATGTGTGTGTATATATATCTGTAACAAGAAAAATTTGGAAAAAATATCATAGAAACACTATCATTTTAACATTATATTTAATATCTGTATATTTTATTTCTATTATACTACTGCACAGCAGGGGACCTTTCAAGGCAAGACAAAGAGTTTATGCAATGTCATTCAAAGCACAAAGTTCACTCATGAAGCAAATTAATACCGCAGCATTACTGAAATAAAAAGAGGAGCTAGTCAGACATTTTGGTTAGAAATGTAACACATCCTCTTTAAAGAGAATAAATACGTAATGCCATAGCTCAAAATAAATAGTGCCAAATATCACCATCAACAACATATGAAAAATAGAATGGTGTTTTATAAAAGAAAATATTTCATAAGCACACATTATAACAGACGTTATCGTTTTCATATGTTACTAGCTGCTTTACTTAAGGGATAGATTCTACAATCCCCAGTTACACAAACAGTCCTGTTAACCTGTATGAGCTTCTTAATTATAAAGTCTGGTATCAGAGTTATCTGTACCATTCATTTTACAGATTTTAGAATAGGAACAACTATTTCTTTTCCTCAGCACAAAATTTTATCATCAATACTAAAAAACAAACAATAAAAAAATTTAAATGCTTAAGTATGTACATTTGCTAATTCATTATGTTTTTACTCAATGTATCCTTCCAGATTGGGGGGGGGGGGGGTATCTATTATTGGTTTCTTTCAGGGAAAGTTACAATACTTGATGCATAATATTAGATGCAAATAGGCTGACTGTGTTGGATTTTTTTCAGTGATTTTTAAATGTTCCAATACATTTCAGAAAAAAAAATAGTTTGAGTATTTGTGCATATTAAGATATAATCTTGGCCGTCAAGGAAATACTGTGTTGCCTTTTCCAATACAAAACTGTTTCATTCTATAACATATGAACTAGTGTCATAGGACATAACCATCTTTTTTAAAATTCAATAACCAGATAATAAATGAAAACAAATCTAGAGGTTGCTAGATACAAACCAAAGTTTCTCAAATACTTCCTACATACAAATTGTGCCACTGAAGTCCTACAAGATTAAGTATACACAGAAGCTAGAAGGAAAACTAAGGATTCTTCCTACAAAATCTGGAAACAAAAATAAAGAAGTATCTATTACAATAAGTTGATGATCTGGCACATAGTATTTAAAAACTCCTGCATTTTGACAAACACAATTTCCATAGTATTTGTAGTTTTAAAAAATACAAAACCAGAAAAACCCCTGACCTAGCCTGAACATTTCACCCACAAACCCCACAGAATGGTTTTTATTCTTTGAACATTACATTAAATCAAAAATTAAAGCTGCACAGAGAAACAAACAAACAGAAAAGTGAGCATGCAGGGAACTGACTGCATCTAGAACTTGTATGTGTATGTGCATACGGCTGCTTTTATTTGAACTACCTTCTTTTTACCCATATAAGGAAAAAGATTTAACTGACCAGAACAGCTTCTCAGCAATATAACTGGTAATGATTCTGTTTTGACAGTTCTGTATTTTCTCCAAAAAAAGTTCATTCTTGAAACACAAGAAATTTCAGTCCATTCTCCATTTTTACCACATTTAAAAACAAGACACCTTCCTTAACACTAAAAATATTATTTAAGCATACCCAAAAATGTACTAAGGTCTAATAAAAATATTTTCCATTTTTTCTTTTCAACTGATAAAGTATATTTAAGACATTTTGCATAAATATTTATTTACCAAATGAAGGAGTGGCAACTTTCTCTTAAACATAAAAGCTAAAATTTACTTTTGCTAAATATAAAACTGCTTCTCGGAATACAGTATACAAAACCAAATATTCATGAAGAATACATTTCATGTTAGATTACACCATTATATCTTTTCCAAAAGGTTTTTCTATTAAAAAAAATAACTAAAATTTAAATATACTGTATGGTCATTCAAATTATTCTAAACACAGAAATCTACAAACAGTGACATATACATAAACAGTTGGGAAGTTGTAACTTAAAGATCGCACCATTCAATCAGACCTTCTCATAAACGTTAGCCTTCAAAAGAACCCTATTTACTACAAGAAGCATCTGCGTGGTTTTAAGATTTAACTATGCAGACCCCTATTGCCCCAGGGCAGTGCTGCACAAGTCTATTGAAAATGATCAGATTGCAGAATCAACACCTTAAATTTTCCCAGAAAACCTCCAACAAATGTTTTATGTACATTATGACAGGAATACAAAACAAAAAGGCATGCTACAAGAATTTCAGCGTCACAATTTTTCCCAAAACTATTTTCCCATCACATTTGGCAAGCAGAGAACTGATCCTACCATCTACTCTCAGGCTGAGAACTGCAAACTACAATTCAATATAAAATACAATATCCTTCTATAATAATTATGTCCCTCTTACAACAAAGATTAAAATAAAGTTAACTGTGCTGATTCATACTTTCCATAAATTACTAAAAAGGTGAGAGATTCAGACATTTTGCTTCTGGATAATAAGCATAACATCTGTATCATGTGCAAAAGCGCAACTGTGTTTTAAAACTGAGGCCCAACTGAATACAATTTTGTTATTAAAGAAAATATACTTGAACCCACTTAACATGGAAAACAGTGGTTCTCAGTATCTTTTAAAGTTATGCTTTACCTATTTAAACCTGTTGTAAAACTGCAAGTTAGTAAAAAATACAAAAAATAGAAATAAACAGAAAAGAACAAAGCTTGTATATAAATTGGCTTACAATTCAAAGCACAACAGTAAGCTTCAAATAATTACATTTCTGTAACGCACAAAGAGGTGGGATGATTTATTTAAAATACTTCGTTATTTCCGCTCTTTTCTTCACGATTTGATGTCTGTTTAGCTGCTCGCAGTGTGTGCATGCATACGTTTCGCTACATCATAGACATAGGTTATGTCTGGTCGCTTCTCTGGATCCGGGTTGATGCACATATTAACTAGCTGTCGCAGCTAGGAAAGGAAAATAACATGTAAGAAAGCCAACGATCCCATCAAGTAGTATTATCAAATTCAAATTAATGAGCATGGCAAAAATTAGCCAAACATCGTAATTCTGCACAAACGCACACGCTCAGCCCTCCCCCTCTCAACACACACCGCGCCCGGTTTCACGCGAGCTTGCGTGCAACATACTCCCGGGATTTTCACATTTTGTATTGCTGTCCAGAAAAACCCATGAGCAGATTTAAGTTCTAAAGCTTTCAACATACAGCTTTAGACATTTAGTCCCATTATACATCATTCAAATGAAAATTCCTGTGCTTTTGGAGGGCTGTGCCTGCAAACAGCAGAAGGCTGAAAGTCGCACAGAGAAGGTAAATTGGGACTGCTTGCTCATTTTCTCCCAATAGCAGAGTTAGCCAGCAATAAACGGCATTGCTGCATGACAGGTTCCAACAAAAAAAAGGCGGTGATTCTCCTTATAACACACAGCCAACCTGCAGAACCTCCTGCTACTAGAAGCTACCAATACACGCGCATTCAGAAAGCAACTGACCAAATTAAACCCACTGAGGGGTATTTAATATAAAGATGCCACCTTTGACTGAGGAAACCTCTGAACATGAAACTGGAAGCTGGGAAAGTATCACATTATGGGAAGTATCACATTATGCTGGCCCTGCTACTCCACTTGTCCACTGTTGGAGACATAATACTGGAATAAACAACCCTTAGTCTATGTCCCAATATCTATTCTTAGCATTAGATCACTGATCTTTTTGTTACAGGAAGAAGCACATAATTAACAAATACGTTCACGGAAGCCTCTATCTGGAAAGAAACAAATTGCTATGACTAGAAAACCCCATGTTTCCACAACATTATACTTTATCGGCCTTCTATAGTACACACATTCAGCAGAAGCAACCCCAAAGAGCTTCCACACCCCTGAGACACTTCTCATTGCCTCCACAGATAAGCAGAACTGTTGCAGGTTTATCTTCTCTCTTGATATGTCTCAGGTAACATCAGAACTTCACATAGTCTGGACAACCTTCTGATGGGGCACCTACTTTGATTGGTATTGTTGTGTGCAATTCCTAAGCATTCTGCAATGTAGAATACACCTGCATCATGATGACTTATTAAAATATTTATAATTCTTTGCAAGAGCAACTTAACCAACTCTGAAGCTCTTCCTTTATGCTTTTTAGCAGCTTTGCCAAATCCTCCTGAATGTCCTTATGGTATTGGGGCAGGGGGTAGAAAAAAACCCAACAAACAAAAACCCCACACCTTGCATAAACAAAAAAAACCCAACACTTTGCTATGCACCCTCCTATGGCAATATGTCAAATTTGGTTCAGTCTCCCTTCCAGTACTATTAGGTACGACTACTGAAAAAAAATCTGTAATTATTGCAACTAACATAGAGTGGCCTCAACACCATGATTATTCTAAAGTAACATAGATTGCATATTGAAATCTGCTGTCACAGAGTTTTCTTCCTGCTTTTTCTAAAAAGACCAAAAAAGGATTTTAAATTGTAATTATACTCCTTTCACTTTTCAGAAGATTAATTTAAATGCATGGGAATAGGAAGTCCAGAAGTTAAGTAAGAAACATTGCATGCCGCTATTTAAAACTCTGTCCTTTAGCCCTTGCAGAAACATTGTAAACTGTATACGGTGTACAGGTTTTTCATATTTAACAATACAAAAACTCTGTCACTAGACATTCCCCTTTAGCAAGAAGGGCTCAATATTTAAAAATGAGATCATTAATTCCAAAGATACCAGTTAGATTGCTGGACTTAAAAAAAATATATTAAATCAAAATAATCTGTAACAGACTTGCTATTTGAATCTTAAACAAGCTAAGTATAGCCTGACTAATGGAGTTACAAAAGCCATCATATTGCTTCTGGCAGCCAATAAATAAAATACAATACCACTGACAGGAAAAACTATTAGCCTGTAATAACCCCCAATCATTCCGAGAATAGAATGCAGGAATCATGAACTACTGTAAGAAATAATAATTGCCAACATGTAATACAAATATGCAAAGCAAAACAAATCTCCTGTAGAAGCAGCAGGTGGGACACAGTGTAAGCAACAGGCAGAGACGAGCAGCTTGCTATGCAACACCTCAGACAGCCTGCATGGAAAACAGGAAAGACTGAAGAACATCCAAAAACCCCAAGCACTAAATGAGACTCAAGTAAGGAAACATTTTGTAAAGAGAATACAAGTGTAATTTATCAGGAGAATACGACATCGAATCTTGTACATATACATTTATCTTTCTCTGTGAAGATTTCCATCTGTTCAGTAGAACTGCATATAGTAAATAAAGTCTCAGTAAAAGACCTTGAAGGATTGAAACCTATAAGCCTATCATCAGAGGGGAAACAGAGTATTCTTTCTCCTGTTTTTACCAGTTGTATCTCAATAACTTTACTGTAGGTAGAACAGCAGAAGCAGATCTTCACGAAATTTACCTGTGAAAAGCATGAGAAACCTCGTTTACCTCCAGTAGGCAACTTCATACCTTTTCAATCCTGGCCTGTGGGTAACTCTGATTTTGTTTTCTAAACTGAACTTTATCACCTAAAAATCAATTTCAGACTCAAACTGTTTATTAAGTTATTAAACAGGAAGCCTTCTTTCAGAGTTCCTTTTTTATTTGTTACAGTATATTACAATTCAAAGTTTCAATAAAATGGCCAAGAAGATGGCGTTGCTTAGGAAGAGACTGTAGCAGAACAGCATCATTAGTCAAAAGTACATGTAAGGCTTTAGGTCCTATTAATCCCTGTAAGTACACTTGCAAAATCCATTCACCCACATGGTGTCTTGACTGGTAGCTTTTTTGAAGTTTCTTATTTTTTATTTAAAAAAAAAGCATATGTAGCTACTATTGTTAGGATGCAAGGAAGTATCTACAAGAATATGTTCATAGTAAGGCACAGTCACTGAATCTGTTTACTCAGAAATTCTCTTCCCAGCATAGTGCCAGTGGTAAGCTCTATTAGTGATAAACCTTCACTATTGCTGTAATAAAAGAAACCAGAGTCATAGATCTCTTCTGGCTATGAGTCTTTACATTTAAATGTTGGTCACTGCTGTAACTGCAAAATCTCCTTCCCCCTCCCAAGTCTAGAATCTCAGTTGTACGGCAGGAACGCTGAGCTGACTATGCTTGGGACACTGCACAACGATTGTACAGATTCCTGAGTAGTTTCAAAATCCTTGAGCTCTTCGGAGCCTTGTTACTGAAGAACAAATCTTTGTGAGAAGGTGAATTAATTTTGCTGTACAGGATGAAAACAGTTACACAGGAAGACAGTCTTTCAGGACTGAAACTGGGACCATGCTGGATGTTAGTACTTGGTTATACACTATTCCTTTAACTCCTACAGGAATATCCATTTCAATAAACCTGAAATCCATTTGTCAACCCCTCTAGTATTAATAAAATTTCCGATGTAGCAGAAGAGCCCAACAGTACCGTGGGAAGAGGCACTGGGATTCTAAAGTCAGACTACCATTAGAGATAGAGTATTTTTTATTATGTGGCACAGAGTGGCCAACAGGCAGAACAGACTTATGACTGAGCTGGAGGAACCTCCTGTTACATCCCCAAGCTGCAAACTTCTTTGGCTGCTTATTGTTCTTAACCTCCTCTGTGCACTTAGCACAATGACTGTCTTTAGCCTGGAGCTTAGCCTGACATCGGAGCAGTGGGACACACTTTCTTTAACTTTGGCAGGTTTTTCAGCTATGAAATAAGTAATTATCACGCAAGTCAGGAGGGGGAAAGACAGAAATATGACAGGCAAGTAAGTACTTTGTTAGCCAGTGGAAAAAGAGAAATTTTCATACAGGAAATTTTGGATGAGAAAAACCACCACAAAACCCTTCTTATGCTGAATAGGAAACCTTCTTGAAGCCCTTTCTCAGTGTTATTCTCAAGACCTTCTAATGGCAACTAACACTGCCATCGTGGACCTGCTGGCTCATTCAGCCTTCACATCTGGGAAGGAAGTTGGCTATGGACTTTAGAAGAATAGCACCTCAGTCAAAAGGAAGACCGAAAAACTTCATCTATCATGAAAGCAACGTGATACTAATATTGGCTGACAAGACTTTAAGAGTGTTGACTGGGGCTGGCAAGGGAGCCCCAGCTTTGAATTGCCTGATGCAGAACAGCTTTCAGTAAATGCTGAGTACTCACTCTGATTACCAGGCATTCTTAAGGATCATTCAAAAATTGAGATATTCAAAGTTGTTAAACATTTGAAAATCTTCGCTTATGACTCTACTGCTGAAGCAACCATTTGTGAAAATGCAGCTTAGACTATTAGGATTTCTAATCAAACGTTTTTAAAAACATTATCCATCTGTCCATCTATTTTAAGGTGCATCTTTCTGTCACACTATTCTGTGATGACAGAGACATACATTACTAACAGGTTAGTCTTATAAAGAGTTCAAAATTTAGAACAAGTGTCACATCTTAAAACTCATTAAAATCTACTTACAAAAAAGCTTCTCTAAAAAGCACTTGTCTTGCTTTTGTAACGAAAGTGTTTGCACTCCTGTATCACAGGATGCAGAGATCACCACTCAGTGAAATTTTTCTGTCAGAAAATTCTTAAGTTACAAAATATGAAGTGGGTTTTACTGTTCAGTGATCCCTGACCTCTACTGTTCACTGAGTGTGCTTCCAACCTGGTTAAAGGTTTGATATCTAAATTTCCAGTACAGGTGAAACACTTAGGACAGTAACCCAACATGACAGGTAACACTTGTTTGTTTCTATTTTTTTTATAGTTCACGCCAGCACAGTGTTTTTGCAAACAAGTAACAAAAGGTCTATTTTGGCGCAATAACTAATATCTATTTTTCCATGTACATTAGGGAAGACACAAGTCTTCATATCAGAACATTAAAAAATGTTCTCATTACAGTCTCCATAGTTGATTATTTCTTTTAAGTAACCATTTTCGTACTTGTCTTCATACCTATCATAGCTCCGATTCTACCATTATGTTTTAAAACAACTCGTGTATTTTGCAAATAACTCGTTTATCCAAGGTGCAGAAGTACACGTCTGCTTTGAAATAAAGAAAACGTAACATGTTGTGCTTTGCATCGGTTTTCAACACTAGAAACTACACAGGTGGAAGTAGAAGGTGGAATATCTTTCCCCATCCAAACTCTAAGACCTTCTATCTGGGCCAGACTTTGATATTTGCCCCTTGGCTGGGAATCCGCATATCCAACCTCACACTTAGCTGCAGTGAAGTAGCCCTGCAGGCAGGCCAACTTCAACGAACCACTAGTG